CATAATATTTCCACCTTAGGGGGGTTTTGGGCTAATACTGAGACTAGCTGGTCGCCTTAGCCTGACAAACACACAAAGCCACAGAAGGTGTTTCCTTGTAAGAATAAGGTCACAGGTGTTTTTCATCCTGTTAACTTTCACCTGGCACTCGGAGAATGTGGAAATCCAGGTGATGCTATTCAACTCTATGTAGCAATAGTTGATCATGAGCCATCTCCTCATCCTTGGTAATATGCTAATTACTGTCTAATGGGGAGAGAGTCAGACAGATGTGGTACTAATTACACAATAAAACAGTAACAAACAGGCACAAGTATTATGTTGCAAGTGTGCCAAGAAGGAAACTTTTAATTCTGCCTGGGGAATCATCAAAGATATCAAGGAAGTATCTTGTAAGGTGAACCTTGAAGGATGAAGGAAGTTTGATAGGCAGGAAGTTGGGGTGAAAGTAATCAAAATAAAATAATAGAATGGGTGCACACATATAAATGTGGAATGATCTGGGAAGTTGAAGGCTGAATAAGAAATGGGTTGAGGTGGTTGAGCACCTGATTCCTCTACTTCAGCCTTCTAGTTCTTTCCACAGCTATGTATACCATCTATGCTACTTAACATAATGCTTTTGTTAAATGAAATTTTTCTGTGGTCTGAATAATCTGTTTTAACTGAAGTCTTTTTTTTTTTTTTGGTTTTACGAGACAGGGTTTCACTGTATTGTTTTGGAGGCTGTCGGTCCAGCCTGGCCTTGAACTCACAGAGATCTGCCTGCCTCTGCCTCCGGAATGCTGGGATTAAAGGCGTGCGCCACCACCACCTGGCCTTAACTGAAGTCTTTATAACACTACCATGAGTTCACTTTTAGTCATTATATGTTGAAAAAACCCATCCCATCCATACACCACCACCTCATATCACCCAGTGTCCCTGCAAGTGGTGAGGGAACTACACTCTGAGAAACATTGAGAAAAAAACAGAGAAAGGGTGAGAGCAGATATTGTGAGACTGGAGAGAAAATACTTGGGTCTAATCAGGAGAGAACTCAGTAAATATGCTGAGACTTGATTTGCTCAGCAAGGGGAAAGTATTGATCATTGTTGGAAAGGGCAAACATGGAAATGTGCCTTTCAAAAATGTTGCGAAACAGCTTCAGAAAACTGGAAGGGGCTTACCAGCAGCTAAAGACAGACAGAAGACCACGGTGGAGACTGGAAGGAATCAGCTCCTGGAGCACAGCAGTAGCAATGGAGTGGAGGGAAGAGTGAGTGAAATAGTTCCATTTAGGAAAAGGAAAAATGTCAAAGGTGGCCTCAAATTATTGAGCATGTGACATTTATCCTGAGGTCTGAAAAGTGAATAGGAGCTAGCCAGGGACACAGCTAAGGAAATGGCATGCGGGCAAAGAAGCCAGCATATACAGAAGACCGGAAGCTCAGTAGCAGAATGAACTGATTGGCCTACAACATAGTGCAATGGAAAAACGAGGGACTGCATCGCAAAGGGCCCTCTAGACTGAACTCGGGAGCCCAAGCTTCCTTCATATTAGACACTTTCCTAATGCATTCGTAAATTCGCCTCTGCCTCCCCAGTGTGGCATACACCACCATGCCTAGGCCATTTATTCTCTTAACTTTCTGTATTTATAACTAAGTGAGAGCCAATGAGTACGCACAGAGTCACAGACATGCCTTTTTGACACATGTCCCTGTTATGTACTACACACTGACAGAACCGGATTGAGCTTCACTGTACTTGCTGCACCCAGATCTAAGTGAAAGCAGGGAGCTGGTTTCAAAGGCACTGATACTCACCGAGAGATAATGATGGCTTTGACCAGATGGTAGCCAGTAAGTGGGGAGCAGAATGATTTGAGCGATATTAGAACTGGTAGAAATCATGAACTGACTCAAGGGAAGCCATGATTCTAACTTAGTGATTGTAGATAGTTAATGAATTATTTTTTCTTTCTTTTTATTATTTTAATTTTAAATAGCTTGTTTTACATGTCAATCCCAGTTCCCTCTCCCTCCCCTCCTTCCTTACCTCCCCATCCACCCCCAGCCTCCCACCCTATTGCCATTTCTTTCCACATAGGGGATATCTAGAGTCTGTCATTTCACTCAGGGCAGGGCAGGGCACTCCCCTAAGAGTCCAGGCTGAGAGAGCATCCCTCTGTGTTATGGACACATGAAGTCTGTTTGTATTCGAGGGATAAACACTGATCCACTGCTCAGGGCCCCATAGGTTGCCCAGGCCTCCTCACTGACTCTTACACTCAGGGGGTCTGGATCAGTCCCATGCTGGCCTCCCAGCTGTCGGTCTGGGGTCCAAGAGCTCTCCCCTGTTCAGATCAGCTGTCTCTGCTGGTTTTGCCAGCCCATTCTTTGCCAATTTGCTCATTGCTCCTCTCTCTCTGTCACTGGGTTCCATGGGTTCAGTTCAGTGTTTAACCGTGGGTGTTTGCCTCTGCTTCCATCAGTCACTGGATGAAGGCTCCAGGATGGTTATAGACATCAAGTTCATTATCAGGAATGGGCATTCGAGGTGGTCTCTCCACTATTGCTTAGCTTGCCAAACAGGAAAGAATCTAAAAGATATGCATGGTACCCAAGAGAAGAGAAATGAGGCAAGATCCTCTGAACAGATGGGGAACACGGCGAGGGGTGGGGTGGAGGGGGAGCTGGGAAATAGAGAGGGGGAGAAGAGGAAGAGAGAGTAGATCATGGGGGAACAGGAAGGTTGAGTGGGGGGTAGGATAGGGGGAAGAGGGAATCATAGGTTAGAAGACAGAGCAGGCACCATTGTGACCTCTAGTGATCTAAAGATAATTAATTATAAATAACTATAAATAAAACAAAGGAGCTGAGAAGAGGGTTCCGAGGATAAAGCATTAGCTGCACAGGCATTATGATTGAAACTTGGATCCCCAGAATCCACATAAGAGGCAGGCAGGTGTGTCAGCTGCCTGAAATCCTAGCATTCAGGAAACAGAGACAGGAAGTCCCTGGAGTCCACTGGTAAGCTAGACTAGACATTGCCAGATTCAGAGAGAAACCCTTCGACCAATCAAGGAAGAAAAAAAATGACATCAACCTTGTGCCTCCACATGCACCCACACACATGTACACCCCCACTTGCACCTGCTCACGTGTAAACATGCATGCACATGCATGCATACTACACACACAAAGAAAAAGCTAGACAAAAAATGCCTCTCAGCAAAGTAGGAATAGAAAGGAACATTGCCAAATTAAAGAAAAAGAACCCCCACAGCTACCATCACTACACTTGATAATGAAAGACAAAACCGTCTCTAAAACTGGGGAAAAGTACCTTCAAAACTTGTATCAACACACCAAAAATTCTAGCAAATGCAACAAGATAGTAAAATGTTTGCAGATAGCATGATTACTCAAGAAAAATATCCTAAAGAATTGGTGATCTATTCATGTGGTTGTGTGTTTTTGGTTTTGGTTTTCTTTTGTTTGTTTTTTAGGCATTTAGCAGGCTGAAGTAGGAAGATTGGGAGATCAAGGCCAGTCTAGACTGACTACACAATGAGATCCCATTTGAGAAAGCAAAAAAGAGGGAGGGAGGGAGGGCCAAAATAAGAAGTAGCTAAAAATAGGCATTTGTGGTCAGAAGGCAGTGGTGACATACAGGCATGGTCTGCTAGAGTCTACGAGAAGACTGGAAACCGGAAAGCGTTCAATAATAGCTATCAGAAGAGGTGGGCAGTGTCTGCTAGTTCCAGCTTAAACAGCAAATTCAAATGGGGATTTCACAAAGCAGTGGAGGGAGTTTGGAGTCTGTATCAGAGGAATTCACATGATCTGGGGAGCTCCCCATTCCCTATGAGTAGGAACACTGAAGAAGACTGCTGTGGGAATCAGAGAGGCTTAGAAAAACTGCACCACCTGGAAAGACTGTATCCCACACCACAGCAGCACTAGCTGAAGGAAACACCAGAAAACCCTCTCCTCTTCACACTGCTCAGCACTGATTCACTAACACTGAGACACCATCTCAGAACACCCCTGCTTGCTGTGTTAGTGTCTTTTTTTGTTTGTTGTCTGTTCAAGACAGGGTCTCACTGTGTAGCTCCGGCTCTCTTGGAACTTGCTCTGTAGACCAGGCTGGCCTCAAACTCACAGAGATCTGCCTGCCTCTAATTCGTGAGTGCTGAGATAAAAGCCGTGCACTGCTAAGCCAGGCCTGTGTTGATGTCTTGATAACATAAGGTCCTCTGTGAGCTGCACTCCAGAGGTACTCAGAGCAACTGTCCTAAGACTTTATGTTGATTCAAAATGGAACCCATTACTGAAGATGTAGTCCAGTGGTAGAGCACTTGTCTCTTATGAATTAGGCCCTGGGTTCTGTCCCAGGAGAAATAAATAAATCATGTATTTATTTATTTACTGGACCGTTATGCTGCTGCTGTAAGACATAGCATGTTTGCATTTTGTAGTCTGCCATTTCTCTTTGCTGATGGAGTCACATTTACCCTCTTCTGGACATTCAGCAACCCTTTAAAGGGAACAAAAGTAAATACAATGAAGCAGTTTCTAATCTACGCTTTCTTCTCAGCATCACACTTCCTGGACACTGCAGGCAGGCCTCTACCCTCAGAATATGTGGTCTTATCAGTTCAACAAAGCAAGGAAAACCTAGCTTTTATAAGAAACGTTCTGAATTGCCAGGGTACAGCTAACCAGCCCCCACCCCCAAGCACTTCTGCCCTTTGACTCCAGCTGAAGGCCTACTCTGAGAACGTCATGGTTCTGCTGCTTCCTTGGACAAGATCTCAGACTTCAGGAGGACCCAGATCCAAGGGCCTGAACAGCAAACAAGAGATAGGCAATGACTGAGGGGAGAAGAAAAGAAGGTCCCCATAGCAGCCTTGCCTACTCCCTTAGTGTAGAGGCAGAGGTGAGATGAGGTTGTGAGAGGTATGTCAAGCCTCGAGAGAAACTGAAGGGCATGTATCGGTTGTGTCTCCTCAGGAGCTATTCCCATCTGTGGTATACCCTATTGCCTGCTGTTCAGTAGCTTATGGCCCTTATCTGTGCTCCTCTTAATCTGGCTTGCCTATGATTGGAACACTCACAGTCAAGGTAAGAGATGTGAGCAGAATTGTGGTCCCTTCTGTGCTAAGGGTGGAGTCGCAGGGACAGGGAAGAGGGAGGTGGATGGGGCAATGAGAAGAGAACAAAGGTCTCTGACTAACTGCCCATGAAGCTTTAAAAGACTAAGGACATTTGCTTCTGTAGTTTGAGGAGCATAGGCCAGACTCTTCACCTCTGGGAGGGGTAGAGGGACTGACTGGCAATGGCCCACTTGTTATTCTCTTTTTCCTCTGTCCACAGATGGTAGGCGTTCAGCTTGGGTACGAAACTGGACCCTCTGGAAGTATTTCCAAAGCTACTTCCCAGTAAAGGTACCTTTCTTCTGGGTGTCCATCTTTCTTCTGGATGCCCTTGCTCCTTATTGCTTGAACTCCCACTTGGTGAGAGCCAGGTTTTCAAGGGCTCTGATGGCCAGCAGTGAAGGAGAAGGCCTGCAGGAAAAGGTAGAACAGAAACCCAAAATAGATGTGGAGGTGGAGAAACAGATGAGCAATACCTTTCCACGGTGTCAAACCAAAGCCAGCATCTCTTAGTATCATGATCCCTGGGGCTCTCTAGGACAGTAACATCCTAATGAGCAAGGATCTAGAGGCTGTTGCCCTGGATCTAGATTTTCACATCATTTCTTCCTTCTGCTTGATCAGTTTCCTTCAATCTTCCTCTAACAGCTGGTGAAGACCCATGACCTTTCTCCGAAACACAACTACATCATTGTCTCCCACCCTCATGGTGTTCTCCCTCATGGTGCCTTCATCAACTTTGCTACTGAAGCCACTGGCTTTTCCAGGATTTTCCCATCTATCACTCCCTTTTTAGCAACCCTGGAAGGGATCTTCTGGATCCCAATTGTACGAGATTATGTGATGTCCATGGGTGAGTACAAGAAATCCTCCCTTTCTGAAATCCAACTCAAGATGCCTACCCAATAAGTCCCAACAGTCACTGTGTGATAGAAGACTTGATTTTTTTAGAGTCTAACCAGTATCAGGCGTATGTGTCCTAGCATCAGTCTCTGAACAAAGTGTGAGAGGCAGTTTTATTTGGCAGCAGGGGAAGTTGCAGACATTTGCAAGTTGCCAGGATTCCTTACAAGGGACAATTATAAGGCTAAGTGCAGAATCAAACCCAAATGGAACGAAAGCAAGGAGTAAAAGCAACATATTAAACATGAGTACAGGGGAAATCAGATTCTTTTCTGGAATGGCAGTTGGCTCCTTTCAGCTCTCATTTGAAGGTACTTTTTAAGACATTATAAAGTCTCTCATACCAGTTAGTACATACAGTCTTGGTCCATGCCCTTCATCTCCTGGGAACCCCTTCATCCTTGCTAAATATGCCAGACAATCATCCATCAGAATTGAGGACAACTTCCCAATGCCAGGCTTCAAACCAGGGCACTGTGACAGATTCCCTTCTCTTTGGATGAATATTTATCTTTCTGGACATCAGAAAACAACTGAAGGAAAACTAAAGGTAAGCTACATTATGTTGAGGGGAATCCCAGAAGACATTTCAGTCCATTCTTAGGTTGGTATGGCCATGTAGCAAAGGTTTCTCTCAATGGCTAGGCCTTGGATGCAAATTCTGCCATCCCAGTAGAGAACAGAAGATGAATTCAGTGCAAACATGGGCTTTCAAAGTGATGAACGTCTGTAGCTTTGTTGAACAACAGGATGCCATCGACATCCCATTGTTCATCTATATTTCAGTTTGGCTTGGTCTGCCTGCTCACCCAAAATCCCACTCAATGGATCCTTTTGGTAGCTTCATCTTAGGGAGGAAGCACACAGGTGATGGCTAGCCTGATGACCTCCAGAAGAAATACCTCTGGAGGGTTTCCAGAGTGGTCAGCCTGGACAGAGAGAGAAAGATAGCTTTACAGTCTGTGGGTAGAAATGGAAATGGTTCATCTGGAAGACAGGAGACTATGAATGGGTAGGCAGAGAAAATCAGTATAGCCCTTACTGTAGAAGCCTGGAGTCCTATCAAGGCAAGCAAGCAGCTACCGCTAAGGTTATCTTCTCAGACTAGGGTTAACCCAAGCCATGAAGAACAAAGACAGAAGGTACTAACTGTCTCCAGTAGGAAGAGCTTGAGAGAACCCTTATCCCACATTTAGGCACCAAGTTCATTCTATCTACTTGACTCTTTGGTTTCACAGGTATATGTCCAGTGAGTGAGTTGGCCCTGAAGCACAAGTTGACCCAGAAAGGCTCAGGCAATGCTGTGATCATTGTGGTGGGTGGAGCTTCTGAAGCCCTCTTGTGCCGCCCAGGAGCTTCCATGGTCTACCTCAAAAATCATAAAGGTTTTGTGAAGCTAGCACTCAAGACAGGGTGAGTCCCTAGGTTCGAGGATTCTCTTTTCATGGTGCCTTAGTCTCTCTGTAGTTCTATCTACAATGACACCCTCTCTGGGAAACCTGGTAGATACCCCCTCTTTCCTCTGATTCCTTCCTTTTACTCTTCACATTATGCCTTGTGAGTATTTGGACCTCCAAGCATTTGGTGGGCACTTTTAGATCTTAAAGTAGGGGAAAGATGAGCAAAAAAAAGTTCATTAGTCTGGGACTCTAGGAGAGAGTGCTTTGTTCTATATTAACTCGTTCACCGGAAGGCCCTGAGAACCACCTGAGGGCAGTGAAGGGACTGGCTGGGTGTTCAGGGGATTGATGCTCAGAGGATGCCCCCAGAGAGTGTTTTCAGCAGTTGTCAAATACCTACTGTATGTCAGGCTTAGTATAGAACATTGAAATACAGGAATACACAACACCTGGTGCTTGTGGACGTACAGTCTAATGTGGATGGCAAACACATGCACAGATCATAACAAAACATGTAGTATCCAGCTACTTACCATCTCAACCACCATTCCCATGGTCTAAGCACCCATTATATTTCTACTGGATCATTACAATACTTGGAACTGCTATTTTTGCTTAGGTCCCTACTTCCCTCACCTCCAAGATTCTGTTCCCAGTTGTAGACAGAATGATCCTGGTAACCATGAGTCAAGTTGTATCACATCTCAAAGTACTCCAATGACTCCTATGACACACAGCAAAAGATCTTAAAGAACCTGGTCTTCAGGCGCTTCCCTGACTTCACTCCTCACAATCCTCCCCATTGCCTTGGCTGCTAGGAAACAACATGATTTTGGAGATTTTTTCTCATTCTTTGCGTTCACTGATGTATCCGGTGCTGGCACATGAAAAAGAACTCAATGGAAATGTGTTGGGTAAATGACATATGGTAAGGGAGACATGCAAATTTCTATGGGAACACCAATTTATGGAAAGACGTTGGCCTGGACTAGAGGTTTCATTGAAGAGGGACATCTGAACTATGCTAAAGTTAAAATATGAGTAGGAGTTGCCAATCAGACCAAACTAGGAAAAGAGCCAGACATTGTAGCATTTGCCTGCAATCCCCCCTTACTCTAGAATCGGAAGAAGGAAGACTACAAGTTCAAAACCAGCCTTGTCAAGTTGGCAAGATTCTGTCTCCAGCTAAAAAAAAATGGGAAAAGTCTGGGTTTCCTTTTAGTGACAAAGTTCTTACCTGGTATGTGCAAGGTTCTGGGTTGAATCCCTAGCACCTCAAAAACAATATAGTTAACAAAAGTGAACACAGTCATTCCATGAGGAACTAGATGATATATGTGCAGCACCACCCTAGAACAGATCCCAAGGATTCAACGAGAACTGTCAATATTTTCCTTTCTGTCTGATTAGACAGGTAAGGAGATGACTGTATGGCAGGGCATGGATGTGGGAAAGCAGGATAGGGGAAGCACTAGCTGAGGGAAAAGGAATCCACAGTGGAGAATCAGAGGTGGTCAAAGATTTCTTTAAGGAGATGTGGTTAGAACAGAGTGCTGGATTTGCTGCAGGGAGAGAAGGCAGAGGGAATAGGGATGAGCATGTGCTAAGCAGTGAGGGCTGCAGTGAGGAGCCCTGGGAGAAGGTGGAAGAGAGGAGTGTGCAGTGTGGGGAGATCATGCGGGACGCAAGTGAAGGTGCTAAGTCGACTGAGCTTACTTCTTTCCATCATGGGCTAAGGTGCAGCAGCCGCACTGAACAGGTGGGGGGTAGGGGGCTTGGTCCTGTCTCGAAGTGATGGTGACAGACTTTGTTGACTGCCCATGAGAGGTCTCCCTCTCTCTGAGGAGTGGATGGAGAGTAGGATGGGATGGGGGAAGGGGGGAAGTGGAAGGGAGGGAGGGAGGGAGGGAGGGAGAGGGAGCTGGGATTGGTATGTAAAATGAGAATAGCTTGTTTTTTAAAAAAAGAGACATGAGGCTGGGGATATTGGGGTGCTTGAAATCTTGTCTTGTTGTTCAGAGGTTGGGGATGTTTCCCACCTCAGAGAGAGTGTTGCTGAGGGAGTGTTGCCTCAATAATGTTGTCCCTCTCTTTGCAGGGCATATCTCGTCCCTTCTTACTCCTTTGGTGAGAATGATACTTTCAACCAAGAGACCTTCCCTGAAGGCACATGGCTAAGGTTCTTCCAAAAAAACTTCCAGAAAATTGGCAAAAAAATCCTAGGCCTAAGTTTCTGTACTTTCCATGGCAGGGGCCTCACTCGGAGCTCCTGGGGCTTTTTGCCTTTCAATCATCCAATTACCACCGTTGGTGAGCTTTCTACTTTTTCTGGGACACTCAAGTTCTTAGTCTCCCACCCTAAGTTAGCCAGCAAGCCCCAGGCACTCTGGCTTACAACCACGGTACGCTAAGGGGATTGCAATAGGTGCTGCTGAAAGCAGGATGGGAAAGACAACCAAACAGATGACACTTGGGGTCATTCATAGGTGGGTCAGAGCACACCAGGTGTGAGGAAAGCACCATTATTCAAGTATACTCATTCGGCTGTTTCCTATACTTGCTTTCATTCTCTGGATTATTGGTGAAACGTAGGTGACCAGGGAATGAGCCCCAGAACATAGCTGCAACAAGGGGAAAGAATGAAGGGGGCGGGGAAACAGCCCCAAATACTGTTGGAATATGCTTCTCTGTGAGGTGTGGGTAGTGTGCGTGGGGTAGGGACTCTTAAACTTGTCTCTTCTCCTCCATAGTGGGAGAACCAATGCCAGTCCCCACGATCTACGATCCCGACAAGGAGACCGTGGCAAAGTACTTTGAACTCTATGTCAGTGCCCTACGAAAGCTGTTTGACCAACACAAAACTAAATATGGCTTCTCTGAAACCCAGGAGCTGGCAATTGTATAACATAAGTCAGAATGTCTGTAAACTACAACTCAAATCCATAAGAGATCCAAGTGAAGTCTCAGGAAAGTGATAACTTGGTGATTGGCAATCCAGCAATTGAATCCCCCACCTCCCAAAATAGCCAATACTGGTTGGGTAAAAGGGAGACAGGACAGGACTGGCGAAGGCTGATTAAGGGGGGCACTTCTGTCACACCTTGTTGTTATATGACAATGAACCAGTTTAAGTTCATTCTTGTAAGTCACTCATCAACTCCCCAATAAAGGCAATGCGAAGACAACAAACTCTGTGTCCCTTCCCCACAAACCTTAGTGGCATGGTTTGTTCGTATTTAGGCTTAAGCTTAGAAGCTTAACAGGACTGGTTTGGATCCCCCAAGGCCAGGCCCTTACCTTATTATTTAAAGTCTGGATAAACTGGGAGCCTGAACTGTGGCTTCCTAATTCAGACAGTCAGGACTCTTATCAAGTACACTAGTGTTTCAGATGGCAGCACAATCACATTGCTTCACCCACAAAAATAAAGCTCTAGAATAAACCACTGTGCAACTCAGTCCTGGTCACTCTGTAATTCTGCTAATGTACAGACAACCTGTTTCTTTTCTTCAGCAATCCTTTATGCTTTTTTATATAAAGGGCAAAGTAATGGAAGCACAGCTGCTTCACAGTGGAGCAGAAGCCCAGCAGGTGGGCCAGATAGCCACAGAGCAGCTGCTTCTTCTGATCCCACAGAAACCACCATGGGCCACAATGGAGGGAGTGACAAGACTGCTCAACAGCCAGAACTAGTTTGATGTCAAATACCTACTATGTGCCATATCATTATATTCATACTCTTTGTCCTAGTGTTAACACTATCCCTGTGAGACTGTATTCATTGTCATCACCATTTACCAGTAACAAGGGGCCTTAGAAATTTAGTAACTTGCAGATGGATCTCTAAGATTGAAGCCAGACTGGTCTACAGTGAGAGTTCCAGCACAGGCAGGGGTATAGTGAGAAACCTTGTCTTAAAAACAACACCAACAACAACAAAAACCAAAGAAATTTAGTAACTTGTCCAAAGCCATACAATTTTGTACATAACTAGCATTCAAACACATGTGTCACTAATTCCAAAGCAAAGTTCTCTCCAACATACCTAGGTCACTACCTTGTTTCATCCATCATTTTCTAGAGGCATATTTATCAGCTTGATTTCCATTTTTACTTTAAAACATTTCACTGCATATATGCATTGTCATGGTATTATCACAAATGACATTTTTACACCAGTATACATTTTTGTACATTGAGGACAAACTGTCTCACTTCTAAGTCACTAGGATAGCTGAAGATGATTTTGAAAAATCTGATCTTCCTGCCTTCTTTCCCAGAAACTGGGATTATAGATAGGCATTTTATCAACCTAAGACACCATATAACCTAGCAACTCCATTATTAGATATATATCCAAATGTATTGTAGTGACCAGCCCCCCATTTCAGCAGCCATGACAGGCTAACATGTGCCTGTATGACCTTGCCACTCCTGTCCTGGTCACTAGGAGGTCAGATGCCCTCCTCGTGTCAAGGAACCAATCAAAAGTTAGGTGGCGGGACTGTGCTTTACGGCTCTGGGTGTGCTTTACAGACAGTGCACAACAGGGACATGCAGAACATAGCAACCGCCCTGGGAGGGCCTATGGGCCATAACAACCAGTTGACCAATCAACACAGGGCAGGTCATCCAAACTTGGAAGCTCACCAATCCTAAGACTGTTTCATACCCTCAGACACTCCCCTTATGCTACCCTTTAAGATACCTGCCTCGTGGGTTACTTGGGGTCTTTCTCCAGCTGTCTGCCATGGTGGATGGATGAAGGGCCCAAGCCAATGAGGTTAGCTTGTTAAATAACTTCAATAAAAGACTCTTTGCTTTTGCATCTAAATGGGCCTCTTGGTGATTTTGGGGGTTCAGAATTTGGGCACAATAGAATATACATAAACATATATACATATATATGTGTGTGTATATATTATATATATATTCATCCAGGATTTATTAATTTATTAGACTGGCTCACAAGATACAATCTGGGTATCCAACAACAGAATAGCTAGCTGTCTGACAACATCTTCGAGACTGGATGCCTCAGCAGTCCCAGTCTGACTACACAGTCCTTTGGGATTCCTGGAAAGCTTCTGATCTTCAGTCTATGTAGAAATCACAAAGAATTCAACAAGGATGTCTGTTCCACTATGTTCATAGCAGCATTATTTGTAATAGCCAGAACCTGGAAGCAACCTAGATGCCCCTAAACCGAAAAGTGGATAGAGAAAATGTGGTACATTTACACAATGGAATACTACTCAGCGGAAACAGAAACTTCATTCAGTGGCTGATGGAAGCAGAGGCAGACTCCCACGGCTAAGCACTGAGCTGAACTCAAGAAATCCAGTGGCAGAGAGGGAGGACTGATGACCAAAGGGGTTAAGACTGGGCTGGTTTAACCCCCAGAAACAGCTCATCTGACAAGGGTTAGCTCTTGAATCCCAGGCTGATGCCTGGGAATCCAGCATGGGACTGATCAAGACCCCCTGAATGTGGGTGTCAGTGAGGAGGCCTAGGTAATCTATTGAGTCTTGGCTAGTAGATCAGTATTTATCCTGGGTATACAAATGGACTTTGGGCTCCCATCCAACAATGAGAGATGCACTCTCACCCTGGACTCTTGGGGGAAGGTCTAGGCCCTGCCCTGGATGAAATGACAGACTATGGACACCCCCATGGAGGGCTTCACCCTCCCTGGGGAAATGAGGGGATAATGGGCGGTTGGTGGGAGGGTGCGGGAGGAGGGGAGGGAAAGGGAGAGGGACATGGAATTGACATGTGAAGCAACCTTGTTTTTAATTTAAATTTAAATTTAAAAATAAAAAAATAAAATATATAAAAAAGAAATCACAAAGAAATTGGTTCTAATGCCAATGAAAGAATGCCTCAGCAATAGGGTAGATGAATTTGCCAGCAAGAGAGTGCAAGCAGGCAAAAGCTTCCTTCTTCCTTGTACTTCTATGTGAACTGCCACCAGAAGGTTTGGCCTGGATTTAGGTTGGGCCTTCCTGCTTCAGATAATCTCATTAGCAAAATCCTTCATTGGCTAGACCAATGAAGTTTGGTTTCAGTTGATTCCAGATGTTGTCAAGTTGATAAGTAAGATTAGCCATCATAGTTGTGTCCCATGTATATCAAAGAAAATTGTTCAGTAAAAGAAAATATAGGAGGCAGAGACATGCTGATCTTTGTGAATTTAAGATCAGCCTGGTCTACAGAGAGAGTTCCAAAGATACAGAGAAACCCTGTCTCAAAAAAACAAAAAAAAGTCAATTAAATGAAATTAAGATTATAGAAACAACCAAAGAGGATATGTGACAACAGACTCCAAAGAAATCCAGATAATCATCAGGTCATACTTCAAAAACCCATACTCCACAAAATTGGAAACTGTAAAACACATGGACAAATTCCTTGATAGATACCATTTACCAAAGTTAAAGCAAGATTAGATAAATAATTTAAATAGACCAATAACCTCTAAGGAAATATAAGCAATCATTAAGAGTCTCCCAACCAAAAAAGCCCAGGGTCAGACAATCTTAACGCAGAATTCTACTAGACATTCAAAGAAGAGCTAATGCCAATATTCCTCAAATTATTCCACAAAATAGAAACAGAAGTAACAGCATTCTGATACCCAAACCACACAAAGACTCAACAAAGAAAGAGAATTATAGACCTATTTCCCTCATGAACATCGATGCAAAAATCCTCAGTAAAATACTGCAAGCCAAATCCAAGGACACATCAAAAACATCATCTACCATGACCAAGTAGGCTTCATTCCAGGGATTCAGGGATGGTTCAACATATGAAAATCCATCAATGTAATCCACCATATAAACAAGCTGAGAAACAAAAATCACATGATCATCTCACTAGATGATGAAAAAGCCTTTGACAAAATCCAACACCCCTTCATGATAAAGGTCTTAGAGAGATCTGGGATATAAGGGACATACCTAAACATAATAAAAGCAATATACAGCAAGCCAACATCAAATTAAATGGAGAGAAACTCAAAGTAATTACACTAAAATCAGGAACAAGACAAGGTGTCCACTCTCCATACCTATTCAATATAGTACTTGAAATAGCTAAAGCAGTAAGACAACTAAAAGAAATCAAGGGGATGCAAATTAGAAAGGAAGAAGTCAAAGTATTATTATTCACAGGTGATGTGGTAGTATATGTAAGGTACCCCAAAAATTCTACCAGGGAACTCCTTAGTCAAGTGGCCATATACAAGATTAACTTAAAAAATCAGTAACCCCAAGGTGATATTTTGTTTCTTCTATAACAAATAAAGCTTGCCCAAAGACCAGAGTTCAGAGCTAGTCACACTAGTCAGCCATAGAGGTCAGGCAGTGGTGGCACACACCTTTAATCCCAGCAATTGGGAGACAAAGGCAGATAGATCTCTGTTAGTAAAAGGCCACCCTGGGCTACACAAAATTGATCCAGTCTAAAAGAGAAACAAAGCTCCTAGAACATGGAGTCACCCACCTTTAATCCCAGAACTAGGGGGGTAGAGACAGGAGTGATATGGCTGGGCAGAGAGAGGAATATAAGGAGAAGACAGAAGCTCAGACAGTCTGAAGCAGGCAGTCTGGAAATGCAGTCTGAGGACAGTATGGCCCCTTTGGTCTGAACAATGGTAGAGGTGAGCACTCTAGTGGCTGGCTGCTCATTCTGCTTCACTGATCCCTCAGCTATCATCCCTTGATGATATTATTAAGGCCAAAAAGAAATTGTGCTACATAGCCCTACTATATACAAATGATAAACAGATAGAGAAAGAAATCAGAGGATCAGCTCTCATGGATAAAAAAAAACATGGTACTTTTACATAACAGAGTACTACTCAGCTGTTAAAAACAATGACACCAGGAAATTTGAAGGCAAATGGATGGAAACTGGCTGGGATGTAATATAAATAAAGGAATTTATTTTTTAAAAAAGAGTATAGAAACAAATGTACACATATACGTCAATTAAAAGATTTTAACAAAGAGTAAGTAGACAATTTTATAGGGAAAAATATTTTTTTCAATAAATAATCCTAGGGCAATTGGACAGTCACATGGAAAAATGAAGTTGTGCCATTACCTTCATATGATATATATATGGTATTATAATATATAATATATATGGTAATAAAAATAAAATGAAGCTGGGAGATGGTGGTACATGCCTTTAATCCCAGCACTTGGGAGGCTGAGGCAGGCAGATCTCTGTGAGTTCGAGGTCAGCCTAGTGTATAGAGTGAGTTCCGGGACAGCCAGGGCTGCTACACAGAGAAACCCTGTCTTGAAAAAAAAACCAAAAAATAAAATAAATAAAATGAAGTCATGCCTTTACTTCGATATACAATATTTATTATATGTTGTTATATGTATTCATATACATTACAATGCAGTAATTAGAAACAATTTTAAATTGGTGATATGCTTTATA